AGCCACCCCTCTTCTCTTCCCTTCTCCACCTTACTTCTCCCCCTCACTCCTCTTCTGCCCGAAGGAAAACATGTACCTTAAAAAGTAATGGAATATATTTGCCAAAATGAAGGTGGAAGCATCACAACTGGTTATCCAAAAGAACTTGGGATTTTCAGAACCAAACTTAGGAAAATGTTCAGCAAAATTTAGCAAAAATTTTTCTCTTCTTTGTCTTTGAAGTGACAAAGCAATGTGTTTTACCATCGAAATAAGGGGCGGGCAATTATTTTGTGCAGAGGGCTGCTTACTGAGTTTTGGCAAGCCATCGAGCACCGCATGATAGACAGCCCAGGGCAGCTAAATATTAATTTTCTAAATTTTTTTAGGGGTCCCGCAGGCCAGATAGAATGGTCTGGCAGGCTGCATTAGGCCCCCAGGCTGCATTATGCCCACCCCTTATCCAAATGCATGCCCCGTTGCTTCGTTTTTGGTCTTAATTCCAGACACAATCTTAAAAAGAAAGAAAACACATAAGATTGCATTAAACTGCATTAAATTGTAGTGTTCTTAAAGTGCATGAAATTGGATTGCAAGTGAAGTGGATTAGTTATACAGCTTTAACATTTGCAACTCTGGATAAAAAAACCTCCAAATAAATGTTAATTCTGAGAGTGGAAATGAGTTATATTCCTTTGGCTTTTCCTAAGGTTTAATTTTTCAATGTCACTTTGAAGCTTGTTTATTCTATGAAGTGATTTGCTGGCAAATGTTCAGTTAAGAGAAATTGACAGTAAGGTTCCTAGAGCTTCAAAGCAGCAGCTACCGTTAAGAGTTGTTGGTTTAAGCCAAATGCATTCTCCTTTATTTTCTGAGTTGGACACATGTTGGTGTCCATAAATTTTGCAACAATTTAATAAGAATCCATTCCAGCTCAGAAGGGCAGGCTGCCATGGAAATTAGCTAATGTTTCAGCCACACTGTATCTAAAACATGTGTACTAGCACTTTCTAGTGTACTAACAATAGTCTTTTCATCTTCACCCAGACATTCTCCTCATTGCTTAAGTTCAAACTTGCCTTTTTAAAAAAGCATCTGCAAGTCTGTAGAAGACATGAATCTTGCTTGCCATACTTTGGAATACATGTTAATAAAGGCTCTACTAAGCTTGGTGAGAGCTCGTAGCAAATGGCCAGCTAAATTCTTGATTTGACCCAAAGTCTCTCACTATTTGGTACATGTTCTATAGAGAGTCATAGATCCTGGAATTATATGATGATGCTGAGCACCTCAGCTTTCACTTTTTAATAAAGTAAGTTTCTAACCCTTATGGTTGCTGAGACATGAAAATGCAATTCATTCTAACACTGTAGAGTGTTAAAAATCAATGGAAATAAAATTAATCCCCAAACCATTATTATCATCATCTCCAGATTTCTGAGCCAGTATAATTGTTTCAGGCCTGATTCATGATTTCTGGACACTAAAGCTAGGGACAGAAATTACACATAAACAGGTATAAGTAATCAGAAACCAGTTCAGATCTATAATACAACAGAAGTTCAGTGCAGATAAACCAGTTTTGACCATTTTGAAAGTGGTTTAAGATAAAACTGGGTGGATGTAGCATCAGACTTAACTGATTTAATTAAATCAGTTTATTGAACTTCTGTCCCAGATCCCCTCCAGATTCAAGTTAACTCTGTCCCCCAGCATCCCAGGATGCTTTGCAGGGGGAGTAGGCTAGACTTGGCCCAAGCTGTCTGTTCCAGCTGAGCAGGGAGACATGCGCTACTGCCCCTCAGTTTCTGAGCCACTGCAAGCATGTGGCTGCATTTCCAGAATCAAAAGTGAATGTCTGTTCACTTGCTTACCAGTTCAATCTACACAGCTTAAACTAACCTGTGAAGACTGAATCAATTTAGTCTCAGGCTTTTTGGCTGTCTGTACTTAGTTTAAATTTGATAATGCTGATTAGCCTTCTGTCAAGGCTTGCTGCTCTCTGGGGGACTCAATACTAGGCAAGCTAGCATAATGTTTGCTTTTCACTTGAATACTGATAGCTGTTTCTTAAATGAATAGCAAAAAGGTAGATTATCCTACCCGTGTTGTGTAACAGAGGAAATGGTAAGTGAGGTTATAACTGGGTTTTACTGGAGCTTCCTGAAAATTAATCTATAGTAAACTGATATTTTCAATGGCTCTGAGTCTGCTTTTACATTTTACATGTGAATTAACACAGCAATTTTTTCACCAGCTCATTAGGATTTCTAGTTATTGCAGAATGTGTAAGAGTAATTAGATGTACTTACCTTTGTGGAAATGAGAGAGGAAGTCTTTTCACCCATCTGTCAGGGCTAGCCAACTGCTGGAAAGGGACACACTCTCAGTTATGTCTGCACCAATGGAAGGACCATGGGTCTGTCCTCCCCAGCATGCTGAGATTTTTGCCTGAGGGAACACTGGCTATACCTGCTGAATGGGGCTGCAGGCTTCCACACTCTGAACAGCTCCATTTCTTTTTTCTAGTTCTTCCTTTTCTTTTCTTTTCTTTTCTTTTCTTTATCAAGAAAATTCCTGGCAAAACATTGTCAAGAAATCTTTCCTTTAAAGGCTTCCAGGAAACTGTAGATTTGAAAAAACATAGTGTAGAGTACAAATTCAGAAGAAATATCATCATGTCAGGGCAAGTGATCATTTTAGTAGCTGTTAGGTGGTCAATGTGAACCCTAAGCCACCTCCTATGCAACTAGCAGATAATGAAGGTACAATTTTCTATGTCTACAAAAGGGTGACATTCTTGCTTCACTAAAGTTTCACGATTAAATAAATGGAATCAATATGTCTGCCTAGGAATTAGAAGTGTATTTCCTATCTTGTTTTAAAAACTCACTCTATTTTTCTCAGTGTGTGTTGTTTTCCTCACAGTCCTATAAGTATTCTTTTTCTCTTTGGCAGCTTAGCTGTCTTTCAGCTTGGTAAGATCTTGTAGCAAATGGCCAGCTAAATTTAAAATCCATTCTTTGGCATGAAATCTAGCAGAAGAGTTTGTAAGATAAAAATGCAGTTATAGTTGATTTAATTCTCTCCCCCGTTCCCCCCCCCCCATGTCCATGATTGAAATATTTATTTTTAGAGGACCTCATTCAAGTGCTTTTGTTCATACTGGCATAAATTGCTTTTAGTAATAAATAGAAGAGACTGATTTGCTAGAAGTTGACTTGCTCACCAATCTCCTGTGGGTTTGTTGCTTATTTAAACAGTTATTCAATCAATGTTTATCTCAAGCTGTCAGCTTCAGAGTGAGATTGCATTTCTTATTAACAAAAAATGGTGTGAGAAGGGGGCTCTTGTGGGCTAATCCAGCATTTACAACGGTTTTTAGCATTCTTGACATTTAATTTTTATGAACAACAGAACACTGATTGACTTCATATGACTGAAAATAGATCTATTTTCATCCGCTGTCAGCGAGGGGTAACTAGCACCGTGTGTATTACTACATGTAAATAAGACATTACTCATACAATGTTCTTTAGACATGCACACATGCATAAATATTTATATACCCAGGCACTCTATGTAGTTCATTCATATTCAGATGCATGTGTTTGTGTACAAACCTCACTTATGTGCAGTATGTGGTTATATAAATTATGTATACAATATAACATTAGGTGAGCCAATTTATATGAAAATACATTGCATGTTTGCTGTTGACCTTTAGGTAGAAGTGACTTGCTTTATTGTACATGCTTTTATGATTTGCAGATTTATACATATGGCTGGAAGTTTTGCCAGTTCTTTTTTACAAGAATGGCATTTTTGGCAATTAGATGTCAGGAAAAATTTTCACTATGACATTTTTTGAAAGGCCAAAACCTTGTCATTTTCTGAAAACCAAAACCAAAATATATCATTGTTGGTGTGCAAATGAGGAAACTTGCACAAATTATTCTAAAAAAAAAAATTGGAGGATTTGTCTTTTATTTCAAATTTTTACTGTTTTCTGACTACCTCTACCCAACAGGCTTATTTCATTGTACCAGCTAATAAACATGCCTTAAATTGAATCAAAGACACTGTAAAGAATCTACGTCTAATTTTATCAAGATTCTTAAGTCTCTGAGGGAGGAAGGGGTTAATTATTTTTTTGTATGGGGAAAGGAGTTTAAGTTGAAACTTAATTGAACTTCTTGTCTTCGCCTATAGTACTGTGTCTGGACTGATGGGCTGAATGCCCTTCTTGGGAAGGATATGATGAGCGATTTGACGCGAAATGACCTGGACACACTGCTCAGTATGGAAATAAAGCTTCGTCTCCTCGACTTGGAAAACATACAAATTCCTGATGCCCCCCCACCTATCCCAAAGGAGCCCAGCAATTATGATTTTGTTTACGACTGTAACTGAAGCTGCTTGTCGAAACTCACATTTAAACTGGAAATATTATAACTGGAGAGATTAACAAAGAATGAAAAAACACAAACGCACCTTGGATTTTGGCTTTGGGGGTGTAAAGAAAAACACTCGCTTCCCTTCCCATTCCCTGCATTCTTCCTTCTCTCTGATCCCATCTCCCTCATTGCTTGTCAGAACCTACATTGCTTTAATTCACTTCTAATTGCAGTCCCTTGGACACGGCTAAGGCGAAGACAACCACTGCAAAATGCCCCCCCAGAGGAACATTTTAATTTTTAATACTAGAATAAACATTCAAATATGGACAGTGCTTCCCAAATGCATGTCTGCGAAACCAAACCCAGCACTGCGAGTGCTTTAACTGGAAGTAGAGAAATAGAGAGGAGAAGCAGCTACTGTAAACGGAGGCTGGAGAAAGAGAGAGAGATTCCCCTTCATACTCCCAGATGTCCATTCACAATTGATTCCTATCAGACAATGAAAATTATAGACTGCTTTCAACTTGAGCACTATCATCACCAGCACCATCCTTTGCATTGGCAACATCATCTCCATCATCTGTACCTCACCCAAAGTGATTGTTTCCTAGAATGAGTAGTCTACAGGTTTTTGCTGTACCGTACGCTGTAATGCTGCAACAGCTTCTAACTTCTTTTCCTGCTGTCTCTTAAAAAGTCCTTCTCCTTTCTCAGATTACTAGCGCACATTGTGAATGAAACCACTGGTTGTATTTTGTTACCATAGTGAATTCCAAACCTTGGTTGCCTCTAAAACTGGCTTGTTGATACCAAGGTAATTACTTTTTCATTTTGGTCCAAAATTTAAACTGCAGTTTCTGCAGGTTAATTAAAGCTGCCAGACATCCAGGTTTACATCATTGTCATTGCTACAGTGTTACTAATTTGCAGGGGAAATTTTTTTGTACGGGTTCTAGTTTTTTTTAATTTTGCCAAACAAAGATATTTAATGAAAAGAATTACGTTGTGAAGTATTCGGGGGGATAATGTTTTTATTTTTAATTTCCATTTGGAACATTTGCCCTGGAGAGAAAAAAACTATTCCCTTCAACTTTGCTGTTGAATAAAATTTGAGTTGTGATGATTTTTGGAACGTTGTTTTTATTTTGAAGTTGCCATTTATTCTTCGTCGTTTCTACAACTTCTGAGGCCTTTGGTGCAAGGAAAAGGGGATAAGCTTAACCTTATGATCGACAGTAGCAACATAACTGTCTAATTTGCAATTCTTATTTATTTATTCAGTGACAAAATTGCATCTGGCATGTCTAAAAATCTGCATTGCAGAGGTAGATGAGCCTTTCTGAAAAGGATCCTTTGAGAAATGTAAGTGCAAAGCAAACCAATACATTTGTGGTCATTTGAAGGTTGCTATTTTTAGCTTTTCACCATTTGGAATATCTGTATGCTTCCTGGCTGCAAAGACACAGTATTAAAAAGCTATAACTGTGACATTGTTTCCATGCTCTATTTTCCAGTTTTGTGGATTCCTATCAGCACCAAGTTTAGGCTCTCTGGATCTGGGAAAACAATTTTCTACTGAGACTGTTTCATCCTTCTTCCAAAATTCACAAGTCAGGAACAACAGCAACTTGCATGTTTTTCTTCTTTATTATGTAGGTCTACTTTAGAATGACCCCAATGCTTTAATCAGGGCCTGTGCTGCTGCAACAAAATGGAAAGTGGGGGAGAACAATGCCTGTTAGATGGGAGAAAGAAGAATCTCTGAGTCCACCTATGAGAGTCTTTAAACATCAAAACACTATGAGATCTCCATCCCTGGAAATTTTCAACAGCAAGTTATACAGACACTGGACTGTAATGATTTAGTCAAGATGATCCTACCTTGGTTGGGGAGCTGAACTAGATGACCTCATGAGGACCCTTCTAGCCCTACACTCCTATGATCCTGTGTGGGTACTAAATTACACACCTTTATAGGGCTGTAATTGCAATGTACCTACTGTACTTGGATAGGAATTGGTTTAGTAGGCAAATGATGGTAAAGGAAAAAAGGGGGAAATCTTTAGCCTTACTTTCATAGGATCATAGGAAAATAGGGCTGGAAGGGACCTCACAAGATCATCTAGTCCAGCCATGCTCAAGGCAAGATCATCCCTGACTAAACCGTCCCAGCCAAATGTTTGTCCAGTCTGCTCTTGCAAACTTCCTAGGATGACAATTCCACACATTTCTCTAGGTAGTCTGTTCCAATGCTTGACCACCATTACAGTTAGCAGGCTACTCCTAATCTCAAATCTAAATTTCCACTGCTGCAGCCTGAGGCCTTTGATCCTAATTCTGTCCCCTTCAGCCACAGAGGAAAGTTCGTCTCCATTCTCTATAATGGCGTTTCAGATATTTGAAAACTGTAATCAAATCCCCCCTCAGTCTTCTCTTCTCCAGATTAAATAATCCAGTTCTTTCTGCCTTTCCTCATTGGTCTTGCTTCCCAGTCCCCTAATCGTTTTTGCTCTTTGCTTTACTCTTTCCTAACTGTCCACATCCTTCTTGAAGCGTAGGGCCCAAAACTGGACACAGTACTACGAGTGAGGCCTCATCAGTCCTGAACAGAGCTGAAGAATCACTTCCTTTTATTTGCAAGTGACACTCCTGTTAATACAATCCAGTATGCTGTTCTTTATTTATTTTATTTTACTTTATTTTGCAACAAGAGCATAGAATTTATTTGTGTTCAGTTTATGATTTACTATAACCCCCAGGTCTATCGCTGTAGTACTCCAGCCTAGCTACTCATTCCCCAGTCTATATTTGTGCATTCACACTTGTTCTTGTTGACTCTCATCTGATCAATTGCGGAACATTTCTCCAGTCTGTTCAGGAGAAATGGATCCTAGCCCTGCCCTCTTGAGTATCTGCAATGCCACCAACTAAATGTTGTGCATATATTTTCTAAGTGTCCACTCAGTCCCGTCATCCAAATTATTAATGAAGATATTAAACAATACCAGACCCAGACCCAGCACAGACATCTGGGAAACCTCACTTGATACCCGCTCCCAAATAGACACTGAGTTATTGATGATTACTCATTGAGTATGATGATCCAAACAGTTATATACCATCCTTGCGGTACTTTAGTCTAGTCTGTATTTCCATGGCTTGTTTATGAGACTGTAATGAGAAACAATATCAAATACTTTGCTAAATTCAAGGTGTATTATATCTACTGCTCTTCTCGTCCACAGAGTCTGTCACCTTATTACAGAAGGAAATCAGAGAATCTTAGAATTTGGGGTTTTTCATAGATTCATAGATTTTTGGGGTCAGAAGGGACCTCAGTATATCATCGAGTCCAACCCCCTGCCCTGGGCAGGAAAGAGCACTGGGGTCAGATGACCCCAGCCAGGTGTTTGTCCAGTCTTCTTTTAAAGACCTCCAGGGTAGAGGAGAGCACCGCCTCACTTGGAAGCCCGTTCCAGATTCTGGTAACCCTTACCATGAAGAAGTTCTTCCTGATGTCTAGTTTAAATCTGCTGTCAGTTTGTGGCCATTGTTTCTCATTACTCCAAGGGGCGCCCTGGTAAACAGTATCTCCTATCCCTTGCTGCCCTCCTCTCCCTCCCCTCCCCCCAATGAATTTGTAGATGGCCACTAGATCACCACTTAGCCTTCTCTTATAGAGGCTGAAGAGATCCAAATCCCTCCCTTGTAGGACCTCTCCTGCAGGCCCTTAACCATATGAGTGGCCCTCCTCTAGACCCTCTCAAGGTTATCCATATCCCTCTTGAAGTGTGGCGCCCAAAACTGGATGCAATATTCCACCTGCAGCCTTACCAATGCTGTATAGAAGGGAAGTAACACCTCCTTAGACCTGTTCATGATGCACCTGTTAATGCATGATAGAGTGCAGTTAGCTTTGTTGATCACTTTGTCACATTGTCCACTTATGTTCATCTTTGAGTCAACTATAACTCTGAGATCCTTTCTGCTGCTGCACTGTTTAGAAGCTCATCTCCCCGTCTGTAAGTGTGTTGGGGATTTCTTCTCCCTAGGTGCAGTACTTTGCACTTATCTTTGTTAAACTATATCCTATGTTGTTCTGCCCACTTCACCCTGTCCAAATCTGCCGGAATCCATTCCCTGTATGTTTACTTTGCCCCATAATTTGGTGTCATCCATGAATTTGGACAGCGCGCTCTCTACACTCTTGTCCAAGTCACTGATGAAGATATTGAACAGCACTGGTCCAAGGACCGAGCATTGGAGGACCCCGCTGCCCACATCTTTCCAGGTCAATACTGACCTGTCCACCGCCACTCTCTGGGTTCATCCCATTAGCCAATTCAGCACCCACCTGACCGTTAAATCATCTAAGTCACAGCTGCTTAGTTTTTTATGAGAATGGGACGACACACCATATCAAAAGCTTTTTTAAAAATCCAAATATATGACATCCACTTTGACTCCTGCATCTAAGTAGTTTGTGATTTGGTCATAAAAAGAAACAAGGTTTGTCAGGCAGGATCTGCCTGCCCTTCAGCATTATTTTTCCTGCTGGACACCCACAAATGGAATCCTTAATAATTTTTTCAAAGGTTTTCCCAAGGATAGAGGTGAGACTAACTGATCTATAGTTACCTGGATCCTCCTTCCACCACTTTTTGAAAATAGGGACCACATTGGCCCTTTTCCAGTCCTCTGGGACTTGTCCTGAGCACCGTAAGTGCTCAAACAGTCCTGCCAGTGGTTTTGCTATGACTGGCCAATTCTTTCAGCCCCCTTGAATGAAGATCATATGGGCCTGCTGACTTGAACACATCAAGCCCCTCCAAGTGTCTCTTCACTAGGTTGACGCTAGCCATTTGTGGGCCGATGTCCCTCCTGTGCTTGTCTATAGTCCAGTTTGGAGATATATCATTATCCATGTTCAGGAGTACTGATCCAAAAAATGCATTGAAGAGCTCAGCTTTGTCCCTTCTATCCATCGCTAATTGCCGTAGCCTGTCCTGTAGTTTCATAGTTTCATAGTTTTAGGGTCGGAAGGGACCTAG